TGACACATTTTCAAAGTTTAAAGAGTTTAGAGAGACAGTTGAAGGTGAAGTGGGGAAGAAGATTATCTGTCTACGCACAGATAATGAAGGAGAATATACCTCGAATGAATTCTCCCAATATCTACGAGAGTCTCACATACGTCATCAATTCACATGTGCCAACATGCCACAACAGAATGGAGTACGGAGAGAAAGAACCGGCATCTTGCAGAGATATGTCGAAGCATGTTGCATGGAAAGAATGTGCTTGGAAGGTTTCGGGTTGAAGCCATGAGAACTGCAGTCCATGTGATTAACAAACTTCCTCAACCAAGGTTAGAATTTATTTCGCCCTTCGAAAAACTATGGGATATGAAACCTACAGTCAGTTACTTTCGAGTATTCAGCCATGTGTGCTACGTATTTGTTCCAAGTCATCTACATAGCAAGTTTGACAAAAAGGCAATCAGATGTATCTTTGTGGGATACGACAACCTGAGAAAATGGTGGAAGTGTTGTGACCCTACAAATGGAAGACATCACGAGATGCGGTGTTCGATGAAGCATCATCTTGGTGGTCCCAGAAAAGGAGGTGTTACCAGACTCGAGAGAAATTGAAGAGAAGCTGCAACAGAAGTTGGGGGAGCAAATTGTTCCAATCCAACCGAGTTCAAATGAGCATGAAGATTCACTTGACGGTAACGATGACGAGCAAGAAGTTACTCAGAATCCTTGGCAAACTAGTGTACATCAACAAACACTAGAAGAAGTTAGACTCAGTGAAGTGGAAATACCGACTCCACAATCACAACCCAGAAGGTCAACAAGAGTACGGAAGCCAAATCCTAAATACGCCAACACAACCATAGTAGAAGATGCAGTTGAACCTGAGACGTTTAAAGAAGCATCACATTGTTCCAATCCAACCGAGTTCAAATGAGCATGAAGATTCACTTGACGGTAACGATGACGAGCAAGAAGTTACTCAGAATCCTTGGCAAACTAGTGTACATCAACAAACACTAGAAGAAGTTAGACTCAGTGAAGTGGAAATACCGACTCCACAATCACAACCCAGAAGGTCAACAAGAGTACGGAAGCCAAATCCTAAATACGCCAACACAACCATAGTAGAAGATGCAGTTGAACCTGAGACGTTTAGTCTAGTGGCAAAGCTTATGACCGTAAGAGTTTTACTTGCACTTGCTGCCAACAAAGACTGGAACTTGTACCAGATGGATGTGAAGAATGCAATTTTGCATGGGTAGTGAGATCGGGAAATCTATATGACTCAACCAATGGGCTTTGAGAACGAAGTCTATCCCGAGTATGTGTGCAAGCTTAAAAAGGCACTTTACGGATTAAAGCAAGCTCCAATAGCATGGTACAGTAAGATTGCAGAATTTCTCTCTCGAAGTGGCTATTCAGTGACACATGCATATTCTAGTTTATTCGTCAAAGCTAATGGAGGAAAATTAGCTATCGTGCTGGTATACATGGATGATCTAATCATCACTGGTGATGACGAAGAAGAAATTCACCAAACAAAGGAAATTTTGTCAGTTCATTTTCAAATGAAAGAACTGGGACAACTCAAGCACTTTTGTTGGGCTAGAGGTCGATCGCACACAAGAAGGGATATTTCTGTGTCAACGGAAATATGCAAAAGATTTGTTGCAAAAGTTTGGGATGCTTGAATGCAAGCCAATCTCAACGTGGATGGAGCCCAATGTCAAGATGTGCGCATATGAAGGCAAAGACTTGGAAGACGCAACGATGTATCGACAATTGGTGGGTAGTCTAATCTACTTCAAATTTACTCGACCTAACATTTCATACCCATCGATCAACTACCAGGTACGTGTTTAATCTTGGTTCTGGAACAATTTCTTGGTGCAGTAAGAGACAACCGATGGTATCTTTGTCAATCACAGAAGCTGAGTACAGGGCAGCAGCACTGGAAGCTCAAGAGATCATGTGGCTAACACAGCGGATGAATGATCTACATCAATTGGTAGATTATTCAGTGCCGTTATATTGTGACAATCAATCGGCAGTTCGTTTGGCGGAAAATCCAGTCTTTCATGCAAGAACCGAACATGTAGAGATACACTACCATTCTATCAGAGAGAAAGTTCTGCAAGAAGAGATTGAGTTGAGACATATCAATACAAACGATCAAATTGCGGATTTATTCATAAAAGGTCTGAGTACCGGCAAGTTGAAAAAAATTTGTGGTCAGCTCAACGTGGTGTAAAGGATGTGAGCTGGTGTTGAAGGGGAGTGTTAAAGATTAACACCAGCCCAGCCCAAATAAAGTATCCAGCCCATAGAAGTATTGAAGGGAAAATTTCTACACAACTCTAGAAGTGAAATGTCGGTTAACAAAAAGGAGATATTACACAGTTGAAGATTGTAGAGTTTTCTAGTGTAAAACACAATTATGGGGCTAGAATAAAAGAAAGTCGGCAACCATTTTGAAGAAGAATAGTCTAGAAGGTAAAACAATTATGTAGCTAATATTATATAGCCAAGGCGGTGAGCTATGTCGGCTAGAACAACTATAAATAGGCATGAAGCCATGCATTGTTGAATTAATCAAGAAGTGAAGAGTGAGAAATAAGCTATAGAGCTAAGTAGTCCTTGTGAGACGTGTGAGTGAAGTGAGAAAGAGTGCTTGTAAGAGTTTGTCTTTCCTTCGAGAGTTGTCTTGTTGTACTATTTTGTGAGTCTAATACAAGTAAATTATTTACTTTTTTGTCTCCAACAAGTCTACATTAGAGTTGTGTACTCTAAATTTTCTCAACACAGTGTGAGAAGATACAGTTTCTCACCATCACTCCCATGACCGGCCCCTCTATGTCAGTTTTGCCTAGGACACCCCCATGCCAAACCCATTGCCGTCGGTGCAGTACATGTCATTTTTTCAACATTAATCCTGGTGTTTCAATTTAGGATAGTTACACAGTTGTTGTTCACGACACGACTATGATGTCAACATTGGTGACGTTAACATTTGTTGATTCTTGGATTATAATTCCCTCCCCACCAGACTCATGATCTCAACGACGTCCACTGTCACATCCGTGCTCTTGTAATTGCCAATGTGGGTTCGAAGTTATGCCTTGGATATGTACATCCTTAACCATAGCAAAAGCTAAATTCTGCATTCTATAGCCTTCTATTAAAGAGGGATTAATCTGGATCGAACAGAAAAAGATTGAAATTATATTAAGAATAGAAATGCGTACCATAAGTGGATCTTCGCAGTCAGTTGTAAAATTTCCATCAAATTCTATGTATGTCATGTTACTTTCTTTTTTTCAATAACTATTGTCTACAAGATTTGGACTCATCATTTACATAATAGACGACCTAATGTTTAGTCCTCTTACATGCGTTATTACAACAGGATAAGTAAATGAATAGTTGTGCGTGGTTGTTTGTGAAGGAAGTTGAGGTTCCACCCCAAAATCAATTGGTACTGGGGGAAGTAGCTCAACTCCTTATAAACCCAGGCTTGGTCCCTTAACATTTCAATGTGGGACAAATACTCTCAACACGCCCCCACACGTGTGGCGAACTTTCAAGCCTAACACGTGAACAACACATATTGGGTGACATGGGAACACGTTTGGCCGTTGGGCCCAACTCGTGAAGCCTTGCTCTGATACCATGAACGAGCCACCTATCTTACGACACAACTTTAGTCTTTTTTTTCTCTCCCAAAACTTTCCTTCCCATGTGTCACTTCCCAGGATCGACTCCGCCGTAGCACGATATTGTCCGCTTTGGGCCCCCCTCTCTACCCTCACGGTTTTGTTTTTGGGAGCTCACGAGCAACTTCCCAGTGGGTCACCCATCCTGGGATTGCTCTAGCCCCCAACTCGCTTAACTTCAGAGTTCCCATGACTCTGAAGCCAGTGAGCTCCCAAAAGGCCTCGTGCTAGATGGAGGCAGACATGTACATATAAGGCACATTACCCCCTCTCCGTTGGTCAATGTGGGATCTTACACCATGGCTAACGCTAATGATGCCTCTACTACCACAACCACCACTCCACCTACCCTTTCTTCCATGAACAGCCTCACTCCTGCCATGGTTGCTACTGTCTCCATTAAGTTGGATCGAACCAACTATTCTATTTGGCTGGCACAATTTCTTCCCATTCTCATAAGCCGGGACATTATGGGCGTTGTGGATGGCTCTCATGAATGTACTCCAAAGCATCTCCCTGGTAGCACAGCAGTTAATCCGGCCTACACAACATGGAATCAGCACGACCAACTTATCTTAAGTTGGATCAACAACTCCTTATCCCAATCAGTGCTCTCCATAGTTTCACGTAATCAGACTTCTCGCTCCACTTGGCTGGCTCTCTAAACGTCAATATGCCTCGACATCACAAAATAGGATTTTGCATTTGCGCAATGAGCTGATGCGCACCATGAAAGGAGACTTGTCTATCTCAGATTATCTTGACAAGATGAATATGATTGCTGACAACCTTGCGCTTGCTAGACAATAGGTTCCTGATGACGAACTTGTGCAGATTATCATGAATAATCTTGGCCCTGAGTATGAAATGGTGGTGAGTGCTGCTCAGGCCCGTGATACCCCCATTACATATCCCACACTTGAGTCTCTTCTGCTGACTACTGAAAGGAGAATGGCTAATCATGTTTCTTCTCTCACTGAGTCTACTCTTGCCGTAGCTACATTTGCTACTAACCGAAGACGTGGTGGCGGCCGTTCTCGGGGAACTGGACATGGTGGTGTTCCATCCAATCGTGGAACTGTTCCAAATTCACAAGGTGGTACTGCTCGTGGATCCTTTACCAACCAGCGAAGCTATTAGCAAGTTGGTGAAGCATCTTCCTCTATGAACACACGGTTAGTGTGTCAAATCTATGGCAAGCGGGGTCATTTGGCTTTGGACTGTTATCAAAGGATGAACCTAGCGTATGAAGGTAGAATTTCAGCAAAACGTCTTACTTCCATGGCCACCTCTCCTACTACCATGGCTCGACAGAACAATGGCACATGGCTTCTTGACATCGGTGCAAATGCTCATGTTACTCCTGAACTTCATAATCTTGTCAACCCTAAGGAATATACTGGTAATGACAATGTTGGAGGTGTAGGTAATGATTCCGGACTATCCATTTCTCATTTTGGATCAAGCACTATTAACACTGATTCTTGTTCCTTGCACCTAAATGATGTCTTACATTGTCCCTTTGCTTCCACCAATTTAATTTATGTCCATCGTTTCACTTCCGACAACAATTGCTACATCCTAATTTTTCCTCATTCCTTTTTTGTTAAGGACCTCAATACACAGAAGACACTTTTCTAAGGGAGATGTGAGAATGGATTGTATCCATTTCATTCTGGCGGTGGATTTTCCAATCAACATTTTCAAGCTTTTGTAGGAACTCGTGTTACAATTCAAAAATGGCACTCTCATCTTGGCCATCCAGCTAGTCCAATAATGAAGAATTTGGTTTCTAATAAAAAAAGTGTCGATTACCGGCTCTTCTGACGCAGGATTTTGTTATTCATGTCCTTTAGGTAAAAGCACAAAATTACCTTTTTCAAAATCAGATTCGGTTTCTTCTTCTCCATTGGAGCTTGTACATTTCGATGTTTGGAGTTCACCTATTGTTTCAGTCAATGGTTATTGATATTATTTGCTCTTTGTTGATGATTTTTCCCGCTACACATGGATATTCCCTATGAAACACAAATTCGAGATTTTTGATTTGTTTGTTAAATTTAAGCAACAAATTTAGAATATGTTAAATGCATTGATCAAAACTTTTCAATGTGATGAAGGAGGTGAATATACCAAACTTGAGTTTCAAAAATTTTTGGCAAATCAAGGTATCCATCAACGTTTGTCATGCCCTAAACATCCTGAACAAAATGGATTAGCAAAACAAAAACATCGCCATCTTGTTGAAACTGCCATTGTCATGCTTTCTCATGCTCATATCCCTTCCTCTTATTGGTTTGAAGCATGTCAAACAGCTACCTATCCAATCAACAGGTTACCTACAAAAGTACTTCACAATCTATCACCATTCGAAAAATTGTTTCACAAACCTCCTCCAAACCATGTGCCTATATTGTCCTTGCCTTCAACATAACAAGAATCAGTGCAACACATTGATCATGCACCGGCTGAACCTGATGTATCCTCCACCGAAGTTTCAAGGTTGTCCAATGTTCCCACGCATCCTATTGTGACTAGGTCACGGTTGGGAGTTCAAAAACCCAATCCTAAATATGCATTGAATTTTATTGTTGATACTAAATTACTGGAACCCACTTGTTTTAGCCAGGCTGTGAAGCAAGAGGAATGGAGACAAGTAATGGCACATGAATTCAATGCCTTACAGCGCAATGGCACATGGCAACTAGTTCCTTTTCGGTACAATATGAACCTGCTGCCAAATAAATGGGTTTTTAAAATTAAGAGGAGAGTAGATGGATCCATAGAACGCTATAAAGCAAGACTTGTCGCCAATGGTTTTCATCAGAAGTAAGGTGTCGACTATAGTGGGACATTTAGTCCTGTGGTCAAGCATAGCACTATCCGCTTGGTTCTCAGTCTTACAGTCACTAATAAATGGCCAGTCAGACAACTTGATGTGCACAATGCATTTTTGCATGGTTATTTAAGTGAGGAGATTTATATGAAACAACTAGCTGGGTTTGTTGATCCACAATTTCCTAATCATGTATGTCGATTGCAAAGAAATCTATATTGTTTGAAGCAAGCACCACGGGCTTGGTTTGATACGTTCTCTGATTATCTCTTACAACTTGGCTTTCAAGTGTCTAAGTGTGATTACAACCAGCAAGGTGTCCATTTAATTTTACTTATTTATGTTGATGATATTTTGCTCACCGGCAATGATCGAGTCCAAGTTTCTCATCTCATTCGTCGTTTGAGTACTCTTTTCTCTATGAAAGATTTGGGCAAACTTCACTATTTTTTGGGAATTGAAGTTACCTAAGCTGGTTACTCTATGCATCTAAGCTCTTGATCTTCTTCAACGTACTAAATTTATGGATGCAAAGCCAATTTCTACACCAGTTTCCAGTGGGCAAAAATTGAGTGCTTATGTTGGTGAACCGCATACTGATCTTGAGACCTACAGAAGCATTGTGGGCGCCTTGCAGTATCTAACAATCACTTGCCTAGATTTATCTTATGTTGTAAACCAAGTTTGCCAATTTATGCATTCTCCGAAGTCTCCTCATTGGCTAGCAGTCAAGCGCATCCTGCGTTATCTTAAATCCTCTTATGATTATGGTATTGTTCACAAGCCCGGCAGTTTGCAAGTTAATGCTTTCTCGGATGCAGACTATGCCGGTGATCCGGATTCTCGACACTCAACCAGTGGATATTGAGTATATGTTGGTGCCAATTTGGTGTCATGAAGCTCTAAAAAGCAGAGAACAGTATCCCGATCAAGCACAGAGGCTGAGTACTGTCAACTGGCGTATACTCTGCTGAATTGTCATGGCTTCACTCGTTGTTTCGTGATTTGCAATTGCCCTTATCCAGACCCACTATTTGGTGCGATAACATCTCCTCTATTGCTCTTCCTTCCAATCATGTGTTTCACTCTCAAACCAAACATCTTGAGGTGGACTATCATTATGTTAGGGAAAAGGTCATTCGAGGTGAGCTTACTGTTAATTTTATTTGTTCTCTAGACTAGTTGGCTAACTTGTTTCCTAAAGGCTTGTCCTCTGCTCATTTCAAATTGTTGGTGTCCAAGCTTCCAATTGTGTCTCGTGCTGTAAGCTTGCGGGGGGACGTTAGTCAGAGGCTGTCCTTTGATTTGAATTGAAACTCATGATATTGTTTGTACGTTTGAAAGTTTGAAAGTATGTTGTATTTTTATTTTAAATTCTGATACAAGGATTGCCTTATCAAGAAGGAGTCCTATCTTATCTATGTAACTGAGCTCTTGTAATTTGTTTATAAATACAACTCTCCATCACACTGATGGATCATTCAGCCAAACCTACTTTCTTGAGTGAACGTAAATCTTACATGGTATCAGAGCAAGGCTTCACGTGCTGGGCCTAACAGCCACACGTGCTCTCACGTCATCCAATATGTGTTGTCCATGTGTTAGGTTTGAAAGTTCGCCACAAGTGCGGGGCCATGTTGAGAGTATTTGTCCCACATTGAAACGTTAAGGGACCAAGCCTGGGTTTATAAGGAGTTGAGCTACTTCCCCCGTTGCCAATTACATAAGGCTATATCAGTATTTGCGCAACAGTTATGGAGAACAAATGTCGCTGACATCCTTGATTTAATGTTCAAGTTTCATATAAACACGCAAATGCAATTAAAATCCAGATAATAATCACCACATTGAAACAAACTCCTTGAGCTAATTTTTGTTCCCGACGAATACTAGTACATGATTAGTCTGAACAAACGATATTTAAAGCCAAAACTTATTACAAAAAGCAGCAATATTCTGTTGCTGATGTTGTTACAAAAAACATCACCACTCATCATTCAATTAAGTGTGAATACCATATTATATATATATATTCTTTATCTCTTTCTCTATCTTGGATGTCAAGATGGCGTACGTGAACTAATATCAGGCAACGGGTCGTGTATTACAAACAGCAGGATCAACTTTGCCAGACACAACAGGCTTCACGTTTTTACATCTAAATTGAGTCTCCAAATGGTCATCCCCTACGACGAGAACTCTCATGTCACTAAACTTGATGTCCTTACATGCGCCGGGCGCAGTGCCACACTCAAGAATAACGATACGATTGTCCACGGAGTTGCCCTTAATGTTCTTGAAGCTCACATTTGACACCTTAACTTTGGAGGGGTTTGGCGTTCGGCACTGTTTTGATGGGCAATGCTCCTGGTCTAAGACTATAGCCATGTTCTGAAGATAGTCGAAAATAATGTCCTCAAAAACCAAATTAGAGATGGCTATATTAGCAGTAGAACCCGCCGAACTCTGGATCCTAATTGCACCCTCAGTGTGTGAGAAGGTACAGTTTCTCACCGTCACTCCATTAACCGGCTCCTCTTTGCCAGTGTTGCCTAGGACACTCACACCAAGGCCATTGCCTTGTGAGCAGGTCATTTTTTCGATGTTGATCCCAGTGTTTCCATCTAGGATAGTGACACAGTTGTCGCTAAGGATTTTGATGTCTGTATTGGTGATGTTAATGTTTGTTGACTTTTCGATCAGGATTCCCTCCCCCCCTCGGATGCCGATGGAAACATCGTCCACTGTCACGTTTCTTGAACGGTAAATGCCAATCTGGCCGCCGACACTATTGTTCGATGTTATGCCTTGGATGTGTGAATCCTTAACCATAGAGAAAATTAAATTCTGCATTCAATCAAAGAAGCATTAATTAATCCCGATCGAACAGATCATAACTTCCATCTTCATTTTGTTTGAAGAAGTTCTGAGTTCAAAACCCATGTACGATAAATAGTTGTTGAATAAACAAGCAAACAAAAATCAAAATTATTGAGAATGGGGATGCTTACTAGAGGCGGTTGTTCGCATTGTTTAGCTTTAGCACAATTGAATTCAGATCCTTGGCCATCAAAAATGCCATCTCCTGAGATGAGCAAGTTGTTAACCTGCGTGAAACTAATCCACGCATTACGGTGCGCACCTCCAGTTACCGACTGCTTTTTTGAAGACTGCACTGTTCCGTCAACCTTAAAGTGAATAGTTTTTGCTTTGCAGGGCCCTGCAAAATCAACTGGACCAACTATATATTTTCCTTTTGGTATCACATATTCGTTATTTTGCCTCTCACTGCAGGCTTGTGTCCATGCTTGTGTGAAAGCCTGAAAATTTAGTCACGTAACAAGAAAACATTAGTTTGATGAGAAACATCACATAGCACACTAAATTTTATTCACCGAATGACGCGATAGTATTTGATTGTTCGATGAAAAAACTAAAGTTCATTTTGTTAGAGAAAAATCTGAGTTCTAATATCATGTTGGAGAGTAATTAGTTGTTTGTTACCTTGGTATCATCTGTCTTGCCATCACCCTTGGCTCCAAATTTAACGACATTAACACTGATAGCTTTGGCTTTGATGGCACATATCGCTACCAAGAACAAAAACCAGGTAATTCCATGAATAAATTCTGAACCCATGTTTTAGCCTTGTATTTGTCTCTGACAATCTCAATAGTGTTGGATTCAAGATCGGTCTCAAAGGGTGCATTTTATAGTGTCAAAAAGGACACTCACCACCGCAAAATTGTGAACCAAAATTTATGTGGACTACTTCTAATCTCTTAAGTCCTATTTAGGTGCTGACTTTCTTTTATTTATTTACTTTCCATTATGTGGATTCAATTTCCTCTAATTTTAGTTGTTATTTCTGCTAATTTAGGCTCCTACTATTCACACAAGAAACATCTATCTTGCTTCTTTCAAGAAACTACGTTCACGGGGTAAATTTCGTTGACCTCCAGCAAATTCTATGAATAAGAAAGAGTTTTGTTGACCTCCAACAAATTGTTTCAATAACTATCGTCTACAAAATTTGAACTCATAATCTACTTAAACAAAATAGAGACGGTGTGTTAGTAGACCAAATGATCAATGATAATTTATTTCATATTATAATGTTTATTGGTTTTTTTTTTATTAGTAATTTATAATATACCTACAACAATAGTTTGCATTCTAATTTTTGTCAATACTCTTTGATGCACTTACATATATAATGATGTACCTATTATTTTTTATGAATAAAAATCGCCTTATTATTTCTGTTCGCGTCACTACACACATATTTTGATATTGATCTAATTTAATTGTTTATAATGGTGGTTGGAGTAGTGTGGGATGGAGAGAGTATGACATAATTAGTGAATACTTGGTGTGTGAAATAGGAGTAATTTTTGTATGTTTCGAATACTCGTGGTTGAAATAGGCATCTTATCAAACTTTTCTTTAACTAAATATACATGCACCCATACTTTCTCAACAAAAGTGGCTTCACAAGAATATGACAAAACTGAATTTGGGAGAAGCACGAAACCAAATATCTGAACAATATTAGGGTGCATGGTGGTGCCCTTAATACTTCGTTGCCACACTCAAGAATAACGATATTTGGGTGCACGGTGGTGCCCTTAATGTTCTTGAAGCTCACATTTGATACCTTAACTTTGGAGGGGTGTGGCCTTCGGCACGGTCTTGATGGCCAATCCTCTTGGTCTAAGATTATAGCGATGTTCTGAATATAGTCGAAAATAATGTCCTCAAAAACCAAATTAGAGACGGCTATATCAGTATTTGCGCAACAGTTATGGAGAACAAATGTCGCTGACATTCTTGCTAATTTAAAAGCTTCAGTTTCAGCTTTGTAAAATCTCCATCAACCGCTAGCGTGTTGGTTCGAATTGGGCTGGGCTAGCAAAAGGAACAGCAAAAATAGCCCCCTTTTTTATATATTATATATAGAAAAATACCATAAATACGAGAAAAACTTTAGAAAACAAGGATAACACTATTTTGCTATTCCTAACCAATAACTATTTGACATGTTTGATAACATTTCTACGTGACATTATTAGTTTTTCTCAATGAACACAGAAAACTCGGTACCAAAATTGAAAGAAAATAAAAAAATTGCTAGAACGAGTTAAAATCCTACCAGCCGTTGAAACTTATTAATTCAGATCCAACGGTTACCAGTATGGTCCCGCATTTCTCCCGCAAATGGAAAATTGCTGCAAAATACAAACTCTACATACGGTTGTCCCTGTCTCTCTCCCTCTCTATCCGAAATGGGTTTATCTGCTCCAGCCAGGCCAGCTCTCTCTCTCTCTCTCTCTCTCTCTCTCTGAATTTGGTATTTGCATCCTTCTTGGGGCATCCCATTTCCTGTCAAACTGAAATTCGGTTATTTGCAGTGTGAACAGCTCTCTGGGATGGAAGTCTTCGAGCTTGTTCGTGCAGTCGGGGGCAAGTTCTACTTGTGCTACTCTCCGTCGTTCCATTGCTTCTTCTAAAAGAAAATGTCCCCGAAAGAAAGTTTCTGTAACCTGCTCTTCTTCCTCTTCATCTTCTGGTATGCTTTCTTTCCCCCTTGTTCTTTTTTTTTTAAAGAAATGTATTTACTTTTTTGGTTTTTGTGGCTCATTTTCTGTTAACTTGAAATGATATATTCTCCAATCTTGCTTTCTTGCATTGTAGTTCACGGTTATGTTATAATACTTCGGTTTTGATTATATTGTGAATCAATGAGCAATTCCTACTATCCAGATTCTAATTATTTGCTTAGGTGGTGAACACAAAGTGATAAATGAGTGATAATACCAAAAAGGAAGCTGGAATTAAAAATAATACAATCTCTAGAGGGTTGATTTAGGACCAATTGAAGAAAAGGATCAGAGAAAAGGTTGTTAAGCGCCGGAAAACCCCTTAGAGTGGCCAGAATTTGCCCCTCTGCTGATGCCCACGATGTGCTCAATTAAATGCCTCAAAGAGGCTATGTTCTGGAATTGTGCCTCGCATGTTCAGTGACTATGCCAGAAATTTACCCTCTTTCTCAAGGACCCTCAGATAGGCTAGAAAGGGAAAGAGCACTCTCTTAGAAAGAGATAGACAGAGAGAAAGAGAAAACCCAGAAAAAGGTTGTTAAAGACAGTTTGGGACAAGCATTTGTGATGTGGAAGCTGTCTTAGGAGTAATGTGTTTATAGCACTGCAGGGCTTTGGCATAATATTTGTTTGGTCGGAGTGAATGACAACTTCGTATACAATGTTTCATTTGAGAGAAAACAGTACTAAAATGTAATGAAAAGTTATAAGTGCCTGGGAGAAACATAGTTTGGAAATACAATGCATCAATGAAGTTCCTTTTTTATTTTATGTTCCATGAACTATAGAGAGAAACTGTGCTGATCTCTTAATCAAGTTTTTTCATTACTCACATCGTACCTTTTAGTTGAGTTGGCATTGCTGTTGTGGAGAATATGTTGTTTCCCATCTGGCTTGGCTCAGGTGATAACAGGGTTAGTTGGTATTGAGGTTGATCTATGAGTCGAGATCTAACCAATTAAAGATATATATTAGTGTGCTAATAGTTTGAATTGACCCAAGACCGTGAGCCTTCTCTTCACACATATTGAGGCATTGTCTCTTGTAAAATGCTAGTGTGTATTGCAACGCATAATGTTCAAACCTGTCATAATATTTGAACTTCGCTAGTTTGATGTTTTAGTCTCAGTAACTTCTCTTTAAAAATTGTTTTTGTTGTTAAAAAAAAGATTGCATTTTAATTTTCATATTAAACTCCCCTTCCCCGACTCCCAGATCCACTCTTGGTTAAGGCTGCGAGAGGAGAGCCTGTAAGTCGGCCTCCAGCATGGATGATGCGCCAAGCAGGAAGGTATATGGCCGTTTACAGAAAGCTTGCAGAGAAATATCCATCATTCAGAGAGAGGTCAGAGACAACTGATCTCATTGTGGAAATTTCTTTGCAGCCTTGGGAAGCTTTCCGTCCTGACGGAGTGATTATTTTCTCTGACATACTTACCCCTCTACCTGCATTTGGTGTGCCGTTTGACATAGAAGACATTCGGGGTCCTGTTATTCAGTCACCAATTGTTTCTGAAGAGGGTTTGAAGACTTTGCATCCAATTGACTTGGATAAACTTCAGTTCGTGGGGGAATCCTTAAAGATATTGCGGCAGGAGGTACTTATTAGATACTCACATGCTTGAAAAAGAAGATAAACTGTATTTGTTTGCCAAATTTACATGTCTGGTTATATTATTTCAATCCCTGTATACTTGCTTCTCTCAGTTATTCTTTGTTCAGGTTGGCGGGCATGCTGCTGTTTTGGGTTTTGTAGGGGCACCTTGGACGATTGCTACATATATAGTAGAAGGGGGTTCAACTTCCACTTATACAACAATAAAGAGCATGTGCCATACAGGACCACATGTATTGAGGGCTCTTCTTTCTCATTTGACACAGGCAATATCTGACTATATTGTTTTCCAAGTAGAAGCAGGGGCTCATTGTATACAAATATTTGATTCGTGGGGTGGGCAACTACCACCAAGCATGTGGGATAGCTGGTCGAAGCCATATATTGAAGAGGTGAGTGGGAAGACACATATATATATTTCTCTAAATGGAATTCATTTCAAGTAGGTGCATATGGAAATAAATACACTAGATAACTGCCTACACAGGTTCATGGTGTGTGTCTGTTTGAGGAATTTATTATGCTAATCTGGGCAAAGTAGCTTTTTCCTGCTGTAGACTCTGTGTCATGGTTTTCTGACTTTGCTCTGTTGCCATCTTATTGTTTGAAAGTTTGCTTCATCTCTCTTTGTTTATTGATCTGTAATAAATTCATCTGTGTATGCCTTTTTATACCTTACACTTGCTTGGACCTTATAAACTTGCAAGAACGGTTGTTATGCCAATACATTCTGTTTTTTTTTTCCTTTTTTTTTTCTTTATGGGTTGCAGTCTCTTCCTTTTCCTTCTGTTCACAAGACAGTGTTCTTAAATTGCAGATCGTGAGTTCAGTTAGGAAAAGATGCCCTAAAACACCACTTGTTCTCTACATTAATGGGAATGGTGGCCTTCTCGAGCGTATGAAAGGAACTGGAGTAGATGTGATTGGGCTTGACTGGACGGTGGACATGGCAGATGGTAGAAAACGATTGGGTAGTGAGATCAGTGTACAGGGAAATGTGGACCCTGCTTACCTATTTTCTCCTCTTCCATCCCTGACTGAAGAAATTCAAAGGTTTGTTACAGAACATCTCTGAACTTCCTTGCAACTAATTTAATTCAAAACTTGGTCTGCAATATGAACTTCCATTTGTGCAGACCATTGGCTTATTCAGTTGTAGGAAATTGCCTAAGTTTATTTTGGATTAGACTTCGGTGACTTCTCACCCTATAACTAAAAGTTGGACGGTATTACGCCTGGACAATTGGCTATCCAGATTCCAGAGAGAAAAGGGGATGCTCGGGCAGGGAGTCCATAACCCACTTTATAGTTCAAAATTTCCACTTTGAATTCTACACGTGAATGTTATTAGCTTGGCCCCATCTCAAAGATAAAAGAAAAAGAAATCCTAGCTTAGCACTTGACGATTGGTTAGAAATTAGTCCTTACCCCAAACATTTACTGGTAAACAATTTCATTAATTGAAATTTTTTCTCAAACGAGTGTCAACTTCTACTTTATTCTATATGGATTGACAAAGGGTTGTGTGGTTTTCATTTTTCTGTGTTTTGTTTTCAATTGTCAATTGTTTATATTTCTGAAACTAACAGAATATATTCAGGGTGGTGAGGTCTGCAGGGCCAAGGGGACACATTCTCAATCTAGGGCATGGTGTTCTTGTACGGACACCTGAAGAATCCGTTAGACATTTCTTTGAAGTTGCAAGAAGCTTGAATTATGATACATTTCTAAAAACACAAACACCGACCGGAGGAATTGGTAGTTTAGTGATATAATTTAATGTGAGACAATTCAGCAATTTTGCTTGACAAGTTGGCTTTTGGTTGAGAGTTCACTTCCAATTATGGAAGCATCATGCTCAATTGCTCTTTACCTCATGTAGTTGAGGGTTCACAGGAGCTCTAAGGTTCCCAACATGCTTGAGGGTGAGCTTACTTCTCATATTCAATTATTTTTGTAATAATGATAGCTGGGATGAATAAATGAACCTGTTCTTGTTGTACAGCTATCCTTTGTGCCTGCCTTTTATGATAGCTAGAGGCCTAGAGGGCTCTCACTTATATTGTTGTTTGGGGTATTGCAGAGTCATGTGTTTCTAATCAAAATTTATGCTAATCAATTCTAATTATAACGTTTCTAAGCTAAGATGCATGCTTAATCAATTCTCTAGATTTGCATCTATGAAGTATATGAACACCTAATTCTTCTGCAACATCTTTCATCTTATAGAAGTTACTAGATCTTTAATGTTCTCATTGTAAGGATGCGAGTGCTCCATGTGTGATCCATTTTAATTATCGTAGGGAAAGTCCGTTTGGATATTCTGTTACAGCAGCTAGAAAGCGGAGAGCTTGATATATGGTTAAGGCTACTGTAATACAGTCATCAGTTAACAAAAAGTTAATCAGTTGTTTCTCTTTAATCGTCGTCCATTCGTTCTCCCAAATTCGTCGATCTTAACATGGTGTCAGAGCCAAGAATGGGTTATGTTGATTCTCGATGAAAACTTCATATTTCGCTTGATGCTGAAGAAGTATTTCTCTGTAGTTCTTCAACAGGTTTTCTCGATAAATTATGTTATGTTTTCAGTTAAAGGGTAATTTAGTTATTTTAACTTTCTTGTCTTTTACCAAGTATATAAATTATGAAATATTATGTTTATAAATGTAATCATTTGTGTTAGCTTTTTAATGTCTCAGGTGAGCTAGCTAGTCCATCTCATGAATTTTATAGTCTCGGATTTGTAACACCATGTCGGCATACCACATTTCTGCTTCTGAAAGCAATAAAATACTAACCCTCGCTCGGGCACTTTTGGCTTATAAAATCCTTAAATCACTTGTATTAATTAGTTATGTTTCCACTTGGGGGGCGCTGATTATCTTAATCTTCCTATTGGGATGATAATTAATGGGATCTGATTTCAAATTATTGGATTGAATTTTCAAGTTGATATTGAGATCACCATGCCAATAATGTTGTACGAACATATTTTTAATTTTAGAAAAAAATATTTAAAAAAACAATAGACGGTGTCGGTCTTGTGGCCCGACTTCATCCCTATTGGATGGCCTTCCTTTAGTGGGAGGCTGCGATCTGCAAAGATTTTCCACTCTCTGTGATCACTTTGGTTACGTGGGGATATGATATGAGGTGACAATCTCTGGCCTCAGCCTGCAGCCTATAGGGCTATATTATTGCCTACGTACACACTAGGTGACTTTGCAATGGGCAACCACAAACATCCATGCATGCAAATACACTCTCACGTACAACTTGGTTATGCTCCAAATGGTTTTTTAAAATATGTTTTCTAGCTAATACCGTAATTGAGTTTGTATACGTATGTATACATGTACAAATCTTCAATAATTCTGTGGTTTTGATATATTATGTTGTTAGCAGTGGGCGGAGCCATAATTTCACATTAGAGGGGCCCCCTTCATAAAACTTGTCTTATCTTCATAATTATCATGAATTTTATATTTTAAATTAGTTAAATACTATTTTCATCTTCTACACTATTAAAGACTTGAAAATTAATAATTTATATTCCAATAGGGAAAAGAAATGGAAAAATAAAGAGTTCATAAAGCGTAATATTAAGGTACCCAACTCATACATAAAAAAATTGGAGGAAAAAAAATTCACAAAGCTTTAAAAAAAATAAAAAAAATAAAAAAATAAAAGAGGAAGAGAAAGATCAAGGAGATTTAAGGAGATGAGTAGAAGAAAGATCAATAAATGTTGTGGTTAATTTATAGACCAAAATAACATAATATATTATTTTATTTTAGAGTAAATATCCTGAAATTAACCTAACATATTATAATATTATATATCAGATATAAGATACAAATAGAATAGGTAAAAATGGAGTGGGGGCCTGAGACCACACTAGTCCCATATTGGCTCCACCCTGGTTGTTAAATTGTTAATTTGAACTATTGATGATAAGCTGAGTTTTCATTTCAATTCCAAATACAAGGGTATAGAAGATAATGATTTTTGCGTGGTGCTAAGATGGGTTAAGATTGAACTTCGCTCCAAATGGTGTATTAAACTAGAAATAGATAAGGGAGTGGTTTCCCCACTACTGTTTAGGTTTGGCGATTTATATGTTAAATAGTTTCCATACCTAAAGCTGAACTAGATGCTAGATACTTATCAACTTCTATCACTACCAATTCGAAGAAAATACGTACGTGTATAAACTCATAAGTATTCTCTTGTCGTATAGTTTGACATGTTATTTTAATTAGAAAACCTACGTAATAGTAATTCAAAATTATTTTTTTTTTTTTCACAAACGATAATTGACAGACGAAAGATTTGAATTTCGAAACTCAAGGTAATAATAGTGAGGCCCACAAAATATATACATACATTTCCATTGGTGCAAGCAAGTTGCGGTGTCCATGATTTTGTAGGGCCCATATGAATCTACTAAATCGGTTTTTGAGAAAATATATTTATACTTTTAATGCAGCATCTTTACTAAAATCGATTGAACAGGGCCAGGGAAAGCGGTAGATATCAAGATAATTCTTGTGCAATTAAGTTTACCCATTTGGTATGCTATTTCGATGATATTGATGCCAGCAGCAACTTACTTCAGGGTCACGATCCTACTTTATACTTTTCAGCATCTTCAAGACTTCGACCATATTTGTGATGTACAAGTGTCAATGATCTAGATCCTTCACTGATTCTATAGAGGGGGACTGATATATGCGTTTATGCATGAATGCGTGGAGTTATGTATGCACATCCTTTACCAACAAATCTTAACAAATCATGTTACTTGTTAGAAAGGAAAAATAAAACCTAAGGATCATATATATTGTAGCCTTAGATGTGAATATACCACTATAAGAAAACAACGTTATAGTCATTGTCATCTGTGTAATACAGAATGAGGATAAAGACTATAACAGCGCCTAATAATACCATATGTATGAGCACGAATAACCGTGGTTGTTAACTATTAGGTACTAATTGTGCTATTAGCTAGCCATCTCGTCATGTGCCACTAATGTCAATGGCTATAAACTAATTAAAAATACATAAATAAAGTTCATTATAAAATGGAAAGGAACCAAAGAAGGAAAATAAAAGAAATTATGTATTTTCAAGTTTACGTAGTTTTCTTTTTTTACCATCTGTCGAACTTTATAAGTGTCTGGATATTTGTTAATCTTGACATTCTTTGAATTTTTCTATGACTTCTAAAATCTTCATGTGAAAACTAATAATCTAATATTTCTCTATCGAATTAGTATATTTTTCTCATTTCATGTCGTGATAAAAATGAAAGTTTAGTGCTTAACTTGATAAGAATAAGACCAACTTTTTGTTAATTCTCCATTATTATGTGGATATATTCCAATAGGTGACGAGTTCTTCTGCCTATGTCCGTTGGGGTGGATTCCAAAGAATAGTCAACTTATTGCTAGCTCTTACCCTTCGGTGGATTTGTCTCCTCATCTCTCACTTAATTTTTCGACGTCAAATTGGTATCAGAGCTTTAATTGATTCTTAATTATTACTAATCATATCATCGTCATGTATATGATACGATGTATACCGAATTTTGAAGCTATACTAATTCTCCATGATGACAAGACTTGCGAGCTGTTGAGATGGCAATGACTTGATCAGAAAACATACGCAGAGATTACAACGTGATCTCAAACACAAGTTCATTCATACACAATAGAACAATGTCTACAAAAACTCTTTGAAACAATTAATGACATATTGAAATTGATGAACAAAATGGTCATTTCAGCATGAAATTGAGAGTTGGCAAGTGGAATGAGAGTACCAAAAATTTATGGGAGTTGTAGATGATTGGAAATGAAGCTCTGATGATTTTCAAATCACCACATGAGGGCGCATATTGACTGTTATGAAACAAGCCGCGTGCCCATGCAAGAAAAAAAAAAAAAAAACAAGGCTCAATGAACTATGAGCTTAGCAAATAGTATCTTGACACTTGTAAGTTAATCGACCATGGATTTCTGATGTGGAAAAACACAGGACATTCTAACTTAATGAATCTGATTCTGATGACAGTACACATGTAGATATGAGAGTTTAAGAAGAAATCAATATCTTCTCAACAAAACCAGAAGCTCAATTTAATTTCATTCAACACTCAAATTCGGATGATCATATAAAGTAGCCTGCTTGTATATATAGAAATTCATGGAACCCCACAATAATTACACATGTAATCTCAACCAGCATTTATCCAAAATTATAGGAACAACCGAAACACAATACTCTTGCATGAAGAGAGAGAGAGAGAGAGAGAGAGAGAGAGAGAGAGAGAAAGAGAAAAAGAGAAAGAGAGAGACTTGAGATATAGTTTATGGTACGTAGTAATACTTAAACCATTTATCTATGAGACATTGTACTGATTAACCTACAAGAAAGTGGAAGAGGGAACTTACTCATAATCTCGATTCAGCTTCGACTTCACTTACTTCGTGTTTTGATTTCTCGATAAAATAATATATAAGTGCGAAAGAAAATAGACAATGACCATCAATGGTGACATGGAGTTGAGTGTTTGCACCACCCAGACTGGTGCAGCTCCAAACCTTCATGGTGCATTTGGGTTGGAAATCAAATTGGCGCCTGAAATTAGAATCCGGGTTGCAGAAATTAGAATCAAACTGTCAAATTACAAAACATAAGAGGGAAAATATGATAAACTATGAAGTAAATTATTTGGTAAATTTGGATATGTGTTGATAAGGTAGTGTGACATTATTTGGATATGCTTTAGGAGATGGTAATATACATTTATTGAAACTAATTAATATGCTTGATCATAAGTAGTAATCCAAACAACGCGTACTGTAACGTTTTTATCGAAAACTAATTAAGCAATTCGGGCTGATTTAGACAAAGGACAAACTGATTTAGGTACAAAGGTCAATTCATTGTATATTGAATAATTAACAACAAAAAAAAGGGGCATCGCATCATGGTGAATATAGAAAGGGAAGAAGAAAAGGAATGTAAATTATTAAATATCAGATCAAGACAAAGCTTGCACAGATTGTGAAGATTTAGTGTTAATGCTACATGAGAGATATCTTAGTAATGGCTAATGTGTCATTAACACCAGCAAACCAGCTTGGCCGCTGGATGAGCATTTGGTCTATCCTATTCCTAATCCTACGTACTGCCCCCATCGAGATCTCTCATCATAAAATTGCATCAAGATTATGACAAAAATATTATATAAATAATTGGGGGTTTATATTATATATATGTATATATGTATATATGTATATATATAATATATGAGTACATGAATGTCAACAGTGAGATGCTGTTTATGTCCATTCATGGCGGGCACAAGATCGTGCAGAATCCGAAAAGGGCTATGAATACAAAAAAAGCAAAAACATGTTTATGAGAATATTATATATATTTTTGAAACCCACAAAAAATACCATGATTTAATTTGCATGAGAGAGAGAGGGGAGGAGAGAGAGAGGGAGATCCAATCATAACTTAGTATCAAATGTTGGTAAAAGAAGTTAATTAAGGTAAAGTTACTAAGAACTGTTATTATGTCTTTTCTCATAAAGCAACTTGCTAGCTACTATGCAAATTAGGGTTTAAAATATACTTGGCGTAGGGTTTTATAGGGAAGTACAGAATGAGATGGCTGCCATTTGAATATGTATATGTCCATTACCATACCGATTTTGTCTTTAATTACCTCTTATTGACTGAAATTTTTCTTCTTCCGGACAGAAAAGTTGATCGGTTCTGAACAAAAACTCAGAATCTAGCTAAGCTAGTTGCTTAAAAATATATAATTTTACTCTTTCTCTAAGAGATTAAAGTAACCCATCATCGATCTATATACAAGACTATAAATATATAGTATGAAATTACCATTTTGTTGAGAGAGACAGGTGATCAAGATTCAAGATTGGTGCATGGTGAAGTTGGGATTGTGGTCGAGATTGGCCTTCAATAGATTCCTCTTCTTTTTCTTCTTCTTGTACGGAATTCCCCGAGCCTTGGCTTGAGAATCTCTGACTTCACGCAGATACACTCTTATAGCTCCACTTGCAAATGGGTTTGTTTCTGGCAACCCACCATTCTCTTCATAAGCAGCTCTCAGCCGTCCGATCAGTGCATCAAGGCTCCCCCAAGCTTGCCTAAGTGGACAAGTGCAAGGGCCAGGAGGCTCTGGCTGCCCAAAAAACACGCACCCTTGTAAGTGCACCTTGGTCTTTCCGAATTGGTCCAAGTACCGAAGGAAATCCAGGACATGGTTTGAGTTACTCTGTGAAAGAGCAACTGGAGGCCTCTGGTTCCTCAAGTACTGCCCAAAAGTGTTCCAATCTCTCCTCTTCTGTGACTCATACCGGCTCAGTTGAGCCGGCTGCGCCTGCTTCAGTTGTTGCTGATCAGCAGCAGCAGCAGCAGAAGCAGACGACGATCCTTCTGCTACATCTTTCCCTTTGTTGGTAGACATCATAGCCAGTGATAATTTTTTTTTAGTTTTTTTTTTTAGTATTTCTTTGAGTAGGAGAGAAGTTGGAAAGGAATTTGAGGGAGAAGAAAACAAATTTGCAGTGGGAGAGAAGAAAAGGAAATAATAATATTGAACAAGATCACATCGAGGATAGCTAGTGAGGAGACATGGTATGGGACCAATGAAAGTGCTTTAGCTCCTCTTTTTCTTCCTCTCTCACATTATTTTCTTGCTTTAATGGTACTATTAGATAGTGTTAATAATACTTTATTATTTTCCATATTTTTATTATTGTGCTTCCATCATCAAAGCAATCATTATCGAGTATATTAGCGTAATTAGTACTGTGGTTCAAAACCTGGTGACTAGGTAACCAGAGCTTAGTAACCCTAGTTAGCTTTGGATTTAGCTTCTAGTTACCAATTCAGGAAGCCCCAATCTGAATTGAAATTTGCCATTAAAAAAGTATAAGTATCCTTGGAAATTTGCAATGTTCACCTAATTAGTGGCAGTCTCTTCAAATCAATCAAGCATTTTGATTTTTAGTCGTGGATGGAAAATTCTTGGTTGTGATAGTTACCGAAATTTGGCATGACTAGTCATACCGTCATGTGGTGTTATTAATTTATAACCACATATATACTATAATATTGGTGAACGACATGTTTGGTATCTTATAAAGTTATAATATATTATACATGTCATATATATGTATGAATTCGTAATAATAGGTAGACCTGTCAATGGCTCGGATTTTGATTCAAATCCGGTGTAATTAATAGGAGATGGATTGGACTTCTCAATTGCATAATCTAATTACAATCTGAATCCGGTAATCCGATTATAAATGGATCCATAGATGGATTATAGTTGATCAATAATAATATGATCCGACTTAGTATGAAATATAATTTAATTTTTCTATGCTTTATATTAATATTCGAATCTAGTGCACTAATAATACACTTAAAACTAATATTTATGATAAAATATCAAAATATGATATAAAAAGTAGAGAAATACAATAAAAGAACGAGGATACTAATGAAATTTTGATATTTTGTACATCTCAAAATAAATCCTATAATAATCTAATCCGATTTGAATCCGAATTCGATGCGTTATGGATATGGATTGATAGGTGCAATCTGGTAGTCCGAATACAATCAGAATCCAATAATCCGATTATAAATGATTTCGAATTTGAATTGAGATATATCTTATTCGAATCCGAACCGTTTACAGGTCTAATAATAGGTGGCGATGGTCATGCACAAGAATTTCTGATCATGCACTGCCTCTCAGTTCAATTTCTTGCCAATACATTTTGTGGTTATTCATTTCTGGGATGATTCCAAATTCATTGGTTCCTCCAAATGCTACACAAACAAAAACCCAATGACTGAAATTAAACTCAGTCTTATCTGGTCTCCTAGATAGATTAACAGTTTGATTTTTGACTTATGTTGGTGGAGGGGTAGGCACATCTAGCCAATCAGAATTTAAGATAAGCAGGTTGACCCTCAAAGATTTTCCACTATATAATAGTTATATTAAAAGAATTAATGATGATTACCGACTTAAGTTTAAGGACTATAATATTCTAAATGCTCAACAATAATACTTCACCACAATTCCATCAACTCAAATCTCCTACCACGTGTCACGTGTGTCATCAAGCTGAGGCCTTGGTGCTTTGGTGAGGAGATAGTGTCTCGTATAATAGGAAAGCCATAACCACTGCCAATAATGCTTGGTGATGGATACAAAATAATATCCGAACGAGATAGTGTTAGTGATGTTTTTGTTGTTTCCCTCTCCTGGTTTCCCTCATCTTTTTGCCTTTTATCAGAAAATGGCTACGGGCCAAATGGTTACTTATACATATCTTTGAGCACCTGTTTCCAGAATTCTAGTAACATGTCAATTTTCCCTTTGAGTTGCTCGACAGTTATGGGCTTTAGTTTTCTGGGAAAACTAATAGAAAGACAAGGCCCCAGGAACTCCATTTCATGAGCCCAATAGGCTAAGCAGGTCTCCTAGATTTCAGTTTCAGATATTTCAGGGTTTCAAATCCCTTTTTTAGTTTTTCCAGAGATTACTTGAAACTACCTGGTAAAGTGGGTATATGAACGTCTGCTAACTTTACAAATACACCAAGTTTTTATCCTAACTCTTACACAAACTCTCATGTAGTATATGGACCCCATATGGGTCTTACATGATTTCATAATCTTAAGGATCCTAGATTATGCGAAAGAGTTTGTGTAAGAATTTGGATATAAGACTTGATGTTTGTAAAATTACCATTATAAATAAGGGTGGTTCTATGGACATGCAAGAATTGCTTGTGAGGAGCTAAGTTGTATCTTAGGTTCTGTGTCGAGAGATAATTGGGTGTCCATAGAATCACCTTATACACCTTATACACCTTATACATAACCTCTCTTTTCTCTCTATTCTCTCACCCCATCTTCTTCTCTAGCGTGACCCCCCTCCTCTGCAACCGTTTTGGTTCACGTGGTCCCTGAAACTAAACCCTTCGGCTAATAAATCGGGCACCTATCTCCCTAGTCATGTCGTAGACAATTTTCGATGGGATTTTGTTTCTCCCCAATTTTGTACTTCTTGGACTGGCGAGGTGGAGTTGTCAAATCTAGGTAGATATTTCATTATTGGGTGTTGCGGGATCATGTGGGTTGTTGGAGGGGTTGTGGTCTTCTCTACCAGGTGAATGTTGAGCGGTAATTAGGCCCCTTCACTTTTGGTGCCTTTGATTCCCTATTCGTGCAAAATATGTTATTTTTTCCATGATCTTTGAAGCATTGGTGCTGCCATGAGTCTTATTGATCTTCTAGTTTTCAACTCTAATTGAGCTGAGTTTGATTTTGTCATGTTTTGTTCACTGTCTTATTGGATTTATTTTGTTCAGATATTTGTATGCAAGAATCTCTATTTGGGGTGTGTTCTTTTCACGACTGAAAAGAGAATCATCTTGAGATTTCAAGATTTCTTTGATCATATATAACTTTAAGTCCTACTTTCGAAGGCCAATTAGAAAAACCATATACGAGGATTAGTTTCGATGGGTCCTTCCCTTGCAAGTTCGTCTACAAGTAATATTCGCCTCTCGATAAACATGTTGAATTGAATGCACCCCAACATCAGACATCAAAATGTCACGTAGCAACTTAGAAATACGCCATATGGAGATGGAGGCATGAAGGATTTTCCAAGTTGCAATAGTCTTAAAAGGATCTGCGAGTCTCCTTCAATAACATGCTTGAGTCCTATAGCTTCTTCTTCCCAGAAAACGGATCCAAAATTAACCTTAGGGTGGCGGTTCACCGATGTATTTGTATTTCTTTATTCATTGTTTTTGGTTATATTGGAAGGGATGAAACATTTTATGGTTTTATTTTTTAACATCACTGGTGGGAAGAGGAATTGAACACATGACTCGAACGTAAGAGCGAATCCTCTTAACCACTTGAGTTACAATCACCTTTTGGAGGAAACGAAACCTTTAACCTGTTTCATTCACACTAGATATAATGTTAAGAAGCTAGAGGTGCTTGGCGAACTGACTGAGCCGTGGAAATTTTGAATGTATCTCCTCTTTTATTTCATTCAAAGGATTGACCAAAATCAATCAGAGTTCCGTACGAGTCTGTAACAGCATAGACATGTTCATTGGGTTACAATGGTGGATGGTGCTGTTTATTGGAATATTTTATTTCTTAGGATGGCGATGCATGAACTCAAAATTGATATTTAATTTAACAATATAACATATAAGATGGTGACACATTGATGCTAATTAATCTTTCGTTGATCTTTCTTAGATCTTCTTCACATGGTGTGAGCTGGGAAAGTTACTCTACTAGTAGAGTTGATGGGTTTGATTAGACCAATGACAGAGAAATCCTGAAATAAAATTCTTCATAACTTCATCAGTTTCTTGAAAATGAACATTCCACTTTTACAGGGAATAGTACAATTTGCCTTAAATTTGTGTATTAGTAATAAGACATACATTCAGGTGAAATATAATTATCCAAGATGGTAGTGTGTCAATCGTAACCATGTGGGAGTGTACATCAAATGTCACCTCAAATCACACAATTAGTAAAGTAAAATGGACTAATATTTGTGTGAAAAATGAACACGAATAAAACGGTTGTCAGTAAAGCAAAATAGACTAATACTATTTGCTTGAAAAGAATGTGAGAGAAAAACTATTACTAGTAAAATTGCGCAATAAGTTCATGTATTTTCAATTACCCATCTCACAGTAGAAGTACCACTGTCAATCACATGATCGGTAAAAAGGTTAAACTTCCCTTTAATGTACCGACAATTTGATGAGTGCTATTACTTTCTCTAGGTAACTTCAAATTACATTGTGAGGGTAACTTAGGTGAAATATATACTTGGGATACGTAATTTTTTTTCTTCCTGAATTATGCTATACGTTTTTGTTTAGAGAAGACTATAGCTGCAAATAATTGAAACGAAATGATGACATTCCACCGGGGTATGGCCATTTTCACATTTAATTTATCAAAATAACATTTGTGTCACCATTTTTTATAGGCCGAATGGTATCAACATAATGATCTCATAGACCAGTAGTCGCAATAATTACTCTAATTTTGGTGGCGAAATGTTAAAATATATATGCAGGGTAGGGCAGTACTCCTTAGAGCAAGAAAGGTAAAACCACCTTATCATCCACATCCTGAGGTGGATTTGAGCATATTAGTTGAGCGGGTTACTACAGTGGTTGTGGCCTTCCCCTTTATCCTGCTTGGTATATATATATATATATAAACCATTAAATCCAAAAGTAGTCACAGCAACGTGTGTTCATAATTTTAGCATCAAGACCAATTAAGCCAGTTACTTTCCACCATGATTATAGCCCATGATATGAGCTCTACCAAATAAATCATCTTGTTACCGGCTTCACCTTTAGACTTTAGGACTTGTCTGCGCTTTTGACTTTATACCCTGATTTAAATATGTTGAAACTTTTATTCCTTGAGATTGATTTCATGTGCTAGTGTTTCGATAAATTGGGAAACACATTTGTGGCTCTTTTTTTCTATAAGTTGGTCAAGGGAAACCTAACAAAAGAGGAAACTGTTTTTAGGAATCACATGGTCCTCAGATTAAGAGAGGAAATCAGCTGCTTCCTTAATTCAAAAATATACCGGGACTATAATGTTAATTGATTTGAAGAGACGTGTGACTTGTCGATAGTTCTATTGATTGGAAATTTACC